GACCAGGCCTCCTGGTGGATCAGAGCCTGATCAACCAGGCTGTTATTGCTGGCTGCACGCAAACCAACGTACGAGCCACAGCCCGGCTGGTCAGGAACCGACTTTAGGTGCTTGTCCAGTGCCAGCTTGAAGACTGCCAGGGGTCTGTTGGTAATCCCCCTTATGTGTGCTGGGAGGCAGTTGAACAGTCTCGGGCCCCTGACACTTATTGTATGGTCTCTTAACGTGCTAGTGACACCCCTGCTTTTCATTGGGGATGGTTGCATCGTCTGCCAAGTCTTTTGCTTTCGTAGTGAGTGATTTTCGTGTGCAAGTTCGGTACTAGTCCCTCTAGGATTTTCCAGGTGTATATAATCATGTATCTCTCCCGCCTGCGTTCCAGGGAATACAGTTTTAGGAACCTCAAGCGCTCCCATAATTGAGGTGTTTTATCTCCGTTATGCGCGCCGTGAAGGTTCTCTGTACATTTCTAGGTCGGCAATTTCACTGCCTTGAAAGGTGCTGTTAGTGTGCAGCAATATTCCAGCCTAGATAGAACAAGTGACCTGAAGAGTGTCATCATGGGCTTGGCCTCCCTAGTTTTGAAGGTTCTCATTATCCATCCTGTCATTTTTCTAGCAGATGCGATTGATACAATGTTTATGGTCCTTGAAGGTGAGATCCTCCGACATAATCACTCCCAGGTCTTTGACGTTGGTGTTTCGCTCTATTTTGTGGCCAGAATTTGTTTTGTACTCTGATGAAGATTTAATTTCCTCATCAGAGTACAAAACAAATTCTGGCCACAAAATAGAGCGAAACACCAACGTCAAAAACCTGGGTGCTAGGTGCTAGGTGCTTGGTGCTGGATGCTAGGTGCTAGGTGCTTGGTGCTAGGTGCTGGGTCTAGGTGCTAAGTGTTAGGTGCTGGGTGCAAGGTACTGGGTGCTAGGTGCTGGGTACCAGGTGCAAGGTACTGTACTCTTATGTACTCTTTACTTATTGCTATGTACTCTCATGAAGTTTTTATGTACTCTTATGTACCTTCTGTGTACTCTTTAATTACTCTTATGTACTTTTGTGTAATCTTTATGTACTCTTCATGTACTTTTATGTACTCTTACATAGTCTTTATCTACTCTTATGTACTCTATGAATTATTTGTAATCTTATGTACTCTTTATGTACTTTTTATGTACTCTTTATGTACTTTTTATGTACTCTTATATTGTCTTTATGTACACTTTATGTACTGTTATATATTTTTATGTACTTGTGTACTCTATTTACATTTTATGTACACTATGTACTAATATGTACTCATGTTTATGTGATCTTATGTACTCTCAATATAGTCTCATGTACTCTGTACTGAGTGTAAGGTGTTACTGAGTGTTGTGTTTGTACTCCAGGCAGCAGAGACGAGCGAGGACAGGGAGAAATGGGTGAGGATCCTACAGGATGTCCTACAGGATGTAAGACAGGATGCCCCTACGGGTCCAGAGCGCTTGTCCAGCTCCGACAATGCTCTTAGTACTCCTGGCTGCCACTCCTTGAGTCCAAGTACTCAAAAAATGGTATGTTTTGCCCCCTTAAGACTGTATACAGTTAGTACTTTATTATGCAGTTCCACGATGTACTTGGAGTATACCTGGAGTATACCTGAGTATACCTGGAGAGGGTTTCAGGGGTCAACGCCCCCGTGGCCCGGTCTGAGACCAGGCCTCGTGGTGGATCAGGGCCTGATCAACCAGGCTGTTACTGCTGGTCGCACGTAAACTGACGTAGGAACCACAGCCCTGTTGGTCAGGTACTGACTTTAGGTGCTTGTCCAGTGCCTTCTTTAGACAGCCAGGAGTCTTGAAGACAGTCAGAGGTCTTGAAGACAGCCAGGGGTCTTGAAGACAGCCAGGGGTCTTGAAGACAGCCAGGGATCTTGAAGACAACCAGGGGTCTTGAAGACAGTCAGGGGTCTTGAAGACAGCAGGGGTCTTGAAGACAGTCAGGGGTCTTGAAGACAGTCAGGGGTCTTGAAGACAGTCAGGGGTCTTGAAGACAGCCAGGGGTCTTGAAGAAAGCTAGGGGTCTTGAAGACAACCAGGGGTCTTGAAGACAGACAGGGGTCTTGAAGACAGCCAGGGGTCTTGAAGACAACCAGGGGTCTTGAAGACAGCCAGGGGTCTTGAAGACAGTCAGGGGTCTTGAAGACAGTCAGGGGTCTTGAAGACAGCCAGGGGGTCTTGAATACAGTCAGGGGGTCTTGAAGACAGCCAGGGGGGTCTTGAAGAAAGCCAGGGATCTTGAAGACAGACAGGGGTCTTGAAGACAGCCAGGGGTCTTGAAGACAGTCAGGGGTCTTGAAGACAGCCAGGGGTCTTGAAGACAGCCAGGGGTCTTGAAGACAGCCAGGGGTCTTGAAGACAGACAGGGGTCTTGAAGACAGTCAGGGGTCTTGAAGACAGCCAGGGGTCTTGAAGAAAGCAAGGGGTCTTGAAGACAGCCAGGGGTCTTGAAGACAGACAGGGGTCTTGAAGACAAGCCAGGGGTTCTTGAAGACAGTCAGGGTCTTGAAGAAGCATGGTTCTTGAAGGCAGTCAGGGGGTCTTGAAGACAGCAGGGGTCTTGAAGACAGCCAGGGGTCTTGAAGAACAGACAGGGGTCTTGAAGACAGCCAGGGGTCTTGAAGACAGCCAGGGGTCTTGAAGACAGACAGGGGTCTTGAAGACAGCCAGGGGTCTTGAAGACAGTCAGGGTCTTGAAGAAAGCCATGGTTCTTGAAGACAGCCAGGGGTCTTGAAGACAGCCAGGGGTCTTGAAGACAGCCAGGGGTCTTGAAGACAGTCAGGGGTCTTGAAGACAACCAGGGGTCTATTGGTGATTCCCCTTATGTATGCTGGGAGGCATTGAAACAGTCGGGGCCCGGACACTGCTATCATCTGTGTAGGACCCATTGGTTTAAGTAGGGGGCCCAATACTGATGTTGTTTAGACTTCGATCTTGGCAGCACAGGGAAAAATATATGTTTTTTTTATTCATTTCATTTATGGGATTTTAGTTCTTCCGCGATTCTTGACCATGTAGTCCCTCTAGCTTAAGTTCCTTGTTGGATTATCTTGTCCAGTGTCTCCTCTACGTTTCAGATTATATGGCCTTCTCAGCAGCTCTGTGGTTCTTCGCTTTTGCCTGTGTAAGGGAATTCCTCCTCTTTCATGGTTTAATCTTCTCTTTCTATTTCGTAATGGAGTGCCTTGAGCAGTTCTCAAGAGCCACAGGAGTTATTTTTTCAAGGCTGAGGTCTGATCCGTTTTGTTTAGGAATCTTCCCAAACTGTTTTTTTCAGATAGGACATAGTTGACTTGTTCCCTTTGTATGTTTTTGTTAATGAAGTTGAATTTTGTGAAGACGCATTCATCACTGATCACATTTTGCTGGTCAGGAGCCCTGTGTGTACATGTCTGTACCTCTGTTATGTTGTCTTTGATACTGTTATATTACGTATCAGATTGTCGTTATCTCTAATACAGCATTATTTGCTACATTCCACCATTTTGTGTGTCTTAGGTTGAAATCCCCCAGGAGCAAGATGTTGAGGGCAGGAGCTGGAAGATTTTCCAGACAGTGGTCGATTTTCATAATTCGTTCCTGGAATTATTGGGACGTTGCAACCGGAGGCTTGTATACAACCACGATGACTATGTTTTGGTTCTCGATCTTTAATGCCAAGACTTCAACATCATTTGAGGTATTTAGTAGTTGTGAGCAAATCAGCGACTGTGACGTACAGGCCAACCAGCCTCCCTCCCGTTTGCCTGTTCACTCTGTCACATCCATATTTCATCGTCCAAGTGATCCTTTATGTGGGTTAAGAAATCGTAATGACACGATTGCAAATAAACCATACCCCCGGCCGGGATTGAACCCGCGGTCATAGAGTCTCAAAACTCCAGCCCGTCTAGTCTAGTGGCTAGCGCGACGGGCTGGAGTTTTGAGACTCTATGACCGCGGGTTCAATCCCGGCCGGGGGTATGCTTTATGTGGGTCTCTGTGAATACCGCAAACATTGCGTTTGACTCTTTAAACAGTCCACAGATGAAAGGCATTTTGTTGTTCATTGCTGACTTTAGACTCTGTATATTTCCAAAGATGAGTGTCATTGTATTGATGGTATAAGATAAGATTTCGTTCGGATTTTTAACCCCGGAGGGTTAGCCACCCAGGATAACCCAAGAAAGTCAGTGCGTCATCGAGGACTGTCTAACTTATTTCCATTGGGGTCCTTAATCTTGTCCCCCAGGATGCGACCCACACCAGTCGACTAACACCCAGGTACCTATTTGCTGCTAGGTGAACAGGACAATAGGTGTAAGGAAACGTGTCGAAATGTTTCCACCCGCCGGGAATCGAACCCGGGCTCTCCGTGTGTGAAGCGGGAGCTTTACCCACCAGGCCACCGGGCCTGGGTCTTTTTTCCAGGCACTAATATCTGTGTTTTGGAGTGGAGGCCATTGACTGTGACTCCACTCCAGAAGTGACTGGAGTTGGTGTACGATTTCTGTTATTTCCTGTCAGCCATTTTTTTCCTTCCTGTTGCTACCCAGGTTATATCTTATAGAGTTCCACTATATACATTTCTTTTATAAGTTCCACTATATACAGTTAACCTATTTTTTAACTGACAGAAGTCAGCAACCTTGCCAGGAGGGAGAGTGTCAGGCCAGGACGTCAGCTCCAGCACTTCTGGGGAAGAGGAATCTCAGGTGCTGGAACCTCAGGTGCTGGAACCCCAGGAGGAACCTCAGCTCATCAAACCCAAGAAAATCTTGAGGGTACCAGTGGCTGGTCCTCTGTATGGCGTTAATATAGCCGCGATTAAACTTAAGAGTACCAAGACTCTTCATAAAGAGGTGAGTTATGTATGTTTTGGTGTGTGTATGGTGGGATATACACCTCTGTGTGTATATAGTGGGATATACACCTCTGTGTGTATATAGTGGGATATACACCTCTCTCAGTGTGTATATAGTGGGATATACACCTCTCAGTGTCTATACAGTAAGATATACATCTCTCAGTGTATATACACTGAGATATACACCTCTCAGTGTATATACAGTGAGATATACATCTCTCAGTGTATATACACTGAGATATACACCTCTCAGTGTATATACAGTGAGATATACATCTCTCAGTGTATATACACTGAGATATACACCACAGTGTATGTGTTCCTAGTTTATAATTTATATTATTTCAGGTAAGAGAAGACACATCCTCCAGTTCCTCGGATCAAGACGACATAGGTTCTAAACCAGTACCGTTCCCAGGTCAGGTCAAGCTCAAAACAGTGAAAAAACAGACTGTTGAAAGTTCACAACAATCTAACAGAACGCTGGAAGCCGGAGAAATATTCGGTGTTAAACTGAAGAAGGTCCAGAAAAGAGACGAAATAGAGAGGTTAGACAGCAGTGGGGGACAGGAGGGACACCCTGCCATTTGTAAACGGCCACAGAAACGGCCGTTTATCCCGTTGAACAACAGTAGCCTTCTCAACCGAACGGATATCAGCCAACCTCAGCTGTCAGCAGGTATCAGTAGGAGTCCCTCACCTAGAAAGAGGTCACCATCACCTAGCATACCTCTGTCTAGGAGCGTCCATGCCCTAACGAAATCTGTTGAGGGCCCTACCGTTGCAAATAGTGAGGTGTTATCTGTTCCGGTGAGAGAAACGGGAGCGATTGTTGACGCAGTGAGGAGTAATACGTTACGTGTCTCCGGACAAACAGGATCGTCCGTTGAAGGTAAACGGAAGGTTGATAAAGATATCAGGGTCCATCATGCTGTCAGCCGTGAAATCAAGTACAGTGTGGACGTGGAGGCTATCGAGGTCGATCCTATTGTAGCGATAGCCATTGTTCCAGCCGTTAGAGCACAACAGATTAGCCAGCAAACGGTAAGCAGGGATGACAGACAGGGAATAACAGGAAGTGTGGATAGGATCAGTGATCCTGATGATGATACGGCCTTTCCTGTATCCTCATCCGAGCTGACAAGATCCGTGGATCGTTCCAGTGATGAGACAGAATTTGCAGAATTTGAACAGGGTCATGATCCTGCGTCAGTACCTTCAGGGAGTCAATCCAGAGTTGAGGTACAGCTCCAGGGTCCTCCTGAGGGCATTAATATAGGATTGAATAAGAGAGAGCTGGATTCAGGTCCCCTTTTGATGAGTCCACTGCTGTCTCCAGAAGTGATAAGTAGTTCCTCGGTGTCAGCTAGTGCTGCCAGTAGTGCCTCAGTGTCAGCTAGTGTTGCCAGTAGTGTCTCTGTGTCAGCTAGTGCTGCAGTAGTGCCTCAGTGTCAGCTAGTGCTGGCAGTACTGCAACGGTGTCAGCCAGTGCTGTCAGTAGTGCGACAGTGTCACTTAGTGCTGTCAGTAGTACCATGGTGTCACCTAGTGGTAACAGCATTCCCACAGTGTCAGCTAGTGCTGTCAGTAGTGCTACAGTGTCAGCCAGCACTGTCAGGAGACAGGAATCCCACCCACCACCAGCAAGCAATTCTTCATCTCTCTCACTCCCTTCTAGGTGGCAAAATAACGATAACGATAACGATAAACAGAAAAATAACGATAACGAAGAACTCTGCTGCGAGTTTTCAGATGATAACTCTACCCAGAATGTGAAACCTTGTAGAGGAGCCTCGGAACCCTCCACTGGAGCCTTCCCAGGTGAAGCCTTGAAGGCTTATGTAGAGCAGGATATTAAGACCTCGGAGAGTGCCACACCTCCTCGTAGTCCCTTCAGAGGCAGAGCGAGTACTAATGAGAGTACCAAGAGTACCAACTCGTCCTCAAAGAGTGATTCTGAAAGCTCAGAAAAGAAGTCAAAATTTAAACTTTTTAAGAGTAAATTGTCAGTAAATAAGAAGGAGGATAAGGATTCTAAAGATGGTAAAGAAAGGAAGCGAAAGGGAAGTACTTTCTCTCTTCTCCAGGTCAAGAAGAGTAAAGAGAGGGCCAAGAAAGGCCCTGACGACCTAGAAAGAGAGTCTGCTGAAGCGCTCGTGAACGTCAGCCAACAGCCAGCAGACACTGCAAGGGGATATGATGCAGTTCAAACAGCACTCACTGAAACAGCAGCTATAACTGCAGTGAAGGATGCTAACATATTTGTCTTACAGTCTGATGTGTTGGAGACAGAGAAGGACTTAAGACCTGATACTGGTGACAGTGTCAAGCAAGATAGCCATTCTGTCAGCACTGATATTGTAGACAGTGTCAAGCAAGATAGCTCTTGTCTCAGCACTGATGTCACAGATAGTGTCAAGGAAGATAGACGTTCTCTCAGCCCAGATGTCACTATCGTACTGCGTCGTGAAAAGCTACATAGTAATGGTGAAGCACGGTGCAGTACCTACAGTAGGGCTTCTAACAGTTCCAGGGACCAGGAGCCAGCGCCTTCCATCCCTGAAAAGACAAGAGTCAGGGCCAAATCCCCAAATCACGACATACCACAAAGCAACAGGCCCGTTACACACATGTATCGTAACATCCAACAGGAACAGGAGCTGGAAGACAACAAACAGGTGGATGGATACATCACAGAGGAGCAGATACATGCTATCCTGACAGCCAGTGAATCACGGGACAAAAAGAGACACTCTCAGTCTCACAGCTTCCTGCTGACAGTGACTGACATTTCAAAGGGGTCAGAAGACTGGTCCTTCAAGAGACCATCTTTTGAATCGGTCAACAGCACCGAGAGCGATGAGCCCCTTGCTGTGACCAACTTCCTCAGCAGTGACAGACACTCCAGTAGCTCTGGAAGCCTCAAGACGCGGTCCAAGTCTTTGGACTCCAACAGTTCCAGCGAGTCCCCAGTGTGTAAAGAGTCCCAAGACCCAGAGCAAGACACCTCAGCAGTTCATCTCAGGAAACTATCCCGTCCAACAGATAGTCTAATGGCTACTAACAGAGTGAGTTTGACCTGTCCAGAGTTTACAGTACTGGAGGAAGATGGTGTTACCACTCCAGATGCTACTAAGACATCCTTCCCAACTGAAGTAGTACCTCCAGGGAGTCCTTCGGATGTCCCTAGGATTAGGGTTGCCACTGGAGTAGAACCCGGAGTAGATCTTCAACAGAGTCCTTCATTGCAGACCACACTTGATAGTGAAGAAGAGGACTACTTCCCAGTACCAGGAGTCCAAATGAGGACAGTACCAGGCAGCCTAGTACTAGCACAGTCCTCTAAAGACCTGAGGACATCTGGTATACTAGAACTCAAGGAGTATTTGAAGAAGGAGGGTCAGCAGGAGGTCAAGGAAGAGGTCAAAGCTGGTATAAGCCGTCTGGGACACAGTCCTGCCGTGGAGAAGTTAAAAAATACTTCTGAAAATCTCTCATAGGCCTAAGTTACAAATATTCAGCCTTAAGTGATATGCCTAGTCTGTTTTTAATAAGTTTGTAGGCCTATCCATAGGTCAATAGGCCTACTGTGATATTTTTCATGGGTTTTGTGATGGGTTTTTGAGTGACCTGTCTAGTATGGGCCAGTAGACCTGCTGTTATTGGCAATAGGCCTATGGTAGTGTTCAGTTAGGTTCAAGACACCTGTTTAACCACCTAGACACCTAGCTACCTAGACACCTGTCTAACCACCTAGACACCTGTCTAACAAACCTAGACACCTGTCTAACAAACCTAGACACCTTCTAACCACCTGGCTCATGTTAGGCCGGTGAACACCTGCCAAGGCTGAGGGACTGACCCCCCTCATCTCCCACTGTCTAGTGACTGACGACGCCGACGAGCGAAACATCGCTCTGGTAAAGGTACTCACCTGAGTACTTTCTTGTATTACTATTGCAATAAAATCATTATATTCACAGGACTTTTATTAAGTAAATCCTTCTCATTATAATTATATGGGATTTACTGTTTGCATAGGCCTACTGTGACCTGTGATATTACAAGGATTTACTGTTTGCATAGGCCTACTGTGACCTGTGATATTACAAGGATTTACTGTTTGCATAGGCCTACTGTGACCTGTGATATTACAAGGATTTACTGTTTGCATAGGCCTACTGTGACCTGTGATATTACAAGGATTTAGTTTGCATAAGCCTACTGTGACCTGTGATATTACAAGGATTTACTGTTTGCATAGGCCTACTGTGACCTGTGATATTACAAGGATTTACTGTTTGCATAGGCCTACTGTGACCTGTGATATTACAAGGATTTACTGTTTGCATAGGCCTACTGTGACCTGTGATATTACAAGGATTTACTGTTTGCATAGGCCTACTGTGACCTGTGATATTACAAGGATTTAGTTTGCATAAGCCTACTGTGACCTGTGATATTACAAGGATTTACTGTTTGCATAGGCCTACTGTGACCTGTGATATTACAAGGATTTACTGTTTGCATAGGCCTACTGTGACCTGTGATATTACAAGGATTTAGTTTGCATAAGCCTACTGTGACCTGTGATATTACAAGGATTTACTGTTTGCATAGGCCTACTGTGACCTGTGATATTACAAGGATTTACTGTTTGCATAGGCCTACTGTGACCTGTGATATTACAGGATTTACTGTTTGCATAGGCCTACTGTGACCTGTGATATTACAAGGATTTACTGTTTGCATAAGCCTACTGTGACCTGTGATATTACAAGGATTTACTGTTTGCATAGGCCTACTGTGACCTGTGATATTACAAGGATTTACTGTTTGCATAGGCCTACTGTGACCTGTGATATTACAAGGATTTACTGTTTGCATAGGCCTACTGTGACCTGTGACATTACAAGGATTTACTGTTTGCATAGGCCTACTGTGACCTGTGATATTACAAGAATTTACTGTTTGCATAGGCCTACTGTGAACTGTGATATTACAAGGATTTGCTGTTTGCATAGGCCTACTGTGACCTGTGATATTACAAGGATTTACTGTTTGCATAGGCCTACTGTGACCTGTGATATTACAAGGATTTACTGTTTGCATAGGCCTACTGTGACCTGTGATATTACAAGGATTTAGTTTGCATAAGCCTACTGTGACCTGTGATATTACAAGGATTTACTGTTTGCATAGGCCTACTGTGACCTGTGATATTACAAGGATTTACTGTTTGCATAGGCCTACTGTGACCTGTGATATTACAAGGATTTACTGTTTGCATAGGCCTACTGTGACCTGTGACATTACAAGGATTTACTGTTTGCATAGGCCTACTGTGACCTGTGATATTACAAGAATTTACTGTTTGCATAGGCCTACTGTGAACTGTGATATTACAAGGATTTGCTGTTTGCATAGGCCTACTGTGACCTGTGATATTACAAGGATTTACTGTTTGCATAGGCCTACTGTGACCTGTGATATTACAAGGATTTACTGTTTGCATAGGCCTACTGTGACCTGTGATATTACAAGGATTTACTGTTTGCATAGGCCTACTGTGACCTGTGATATTACAAGGATTTACTGTTTACATAGGCCTACTGTGACCTGTGATATTACAAGGATTTACTGTTTGCATAGGCCTACTGTGACCTGTGATATTACAAGGATTTGCTGTTTGCATAGGCCTACTGTGACCTGTGATATTACAAGGATTTACTGTTTGCATAGGCCTACTGTGACCTGTGATATTACAAGGATTTACTGTTTGCATAGGCCTACTGTGACCTGTGATATTACAAGGATTTACTGTTTGCATAGGCCTACTGTGACCTGTGATATTACAAGGATTTACTGTTTGTATAGGCCTGTGACCTGTGATATTACAAGGATTTACTGTTTGCATAGGCCTACTGTGACCTGTGATATTACAAGGATTTACTGTTTGCATAGGCCTACTGTGACCTGTGATATTACAAGGATTTACTGTTTGCATAGGCCTACTGTGACCTGTGATATTACAAGGATTTACTGTTTGCATAGGCCTACTGTGACCTGTGATATTACAAGGATTTACTGTTTGAATAGGCCTACTGTGACCTGTGATATTACAAGGATTTACTGTTTGCATAGGCCTACTGTGACCTGTGATATAAGGATTTGCTGTTTGCATAGGCCTACTGTGACCTGAGATATTACAAGGATTTACTGTTTGCATAGGCCTACTGTGACCTGTGACATTACAAGGATTTACTGTTTGCATAGGCCTACTGTGACCTGTGATATTACAAGGATTTACTGTTTGCATAGGACTACCATGACCTGTGATATTACAAGGATTTACTGTTTGCATAGGCCTACCGTGACCTGTGATATTACAAGGATTTACTGTTTGCATAGGCCTACTGTGAATTGTGATATTACAAGGATTTACTGTTTGCATAAGCCTACCGTGACCTGTGATATTACAAGGATTTACTGTTTGCATAAGCCTACCGTGACCTGTGATATTACAAGGATTTACTGTTTGCATAGGCCTACTGTGACCTGTGATATTACAAGGATTTACTGTTTGCATAGGCCTACCGTGACCTGTGATATTACAAGGATTTACTGTTTGCATAGGCCTACTGTGACCTGTGATATTACAAGGATTTACTGTTTGCATAAGCCTACTGTGACCTGTGATATTACAAGGATTTACTGTTTGCATAAGCCTACTGTGACCTGTGACATTACAAGGATTTACTGTTTGCATAAGCCTACTGTGACCTGTGATATTACAAGGATTTACTGTTTGCATAAGCCTACTATGACCTGTGATATTACAAGGATTTACTGTTTGCATAAGCCTACTGTGACCTGTGATATTACAAGGATTTACTGTTTGCATAAGCCTACTGTGACCTGTGATATTACAAGGATTTACTGTTTGCATAAGCCTACTGTGACCTGTGATATTACAAGGATTTACTGTTTGCATAAGCCTACTGTGACCTGTTATATCTATAACAAGTATACATGCAGTTTTTTCACAGTGGAAAACATTCCTGGTGTCTCTGTGAGTGCTGTGAAGGTGACATTCCTTTCTGCAATCCTTTGTTATTTTAAGCTATGAATGCTTGAATATTTGAAGCAGGATTTACTGTTTAGATAGGCCTAGGCTTCCCTGTGACCTGTTATATGTATTATAACTACACTTGTAGTTTTTGCAACCACCCAGGGAGGTACTACCATCCTGTGGTAGTAGGTTGGTAGACAACAACCACCCAGGGAGGTACTACCATCCTGTGGTAGTAGGTTGGTAGACAACAACCACCCAGGGAGGTACTACCATCCTGTGGTAGTAGGTTGGTAGACAACAACCACCCAGGGAGGTACTACCATCCTGTGGTAGTAGGTTGGTAGACAACAACCACCCAGGGAGGTACTACCATCCTGTGGTAGTAGGTTGGTAGACAACAACCACCCAGGGAGGTACTACCATCCTGTGGTAGTAGGTTGGTAGACAACAACCACCCAGGGAGGTACTACCATCCTGTGGTAGTAGGTTGGTAGACAACAACCACCCAGGGAGGTACTACCATCCTGTGGTAGTAGGTTGGTAGACAACAACCACCCAGGGAGGTACTACCATCCTGTGGTAGTAGGTTGGTAGACAACAACCACCCAGGGAGGTACTACCATCCTGTGGTAGTAGGTTGGTAGACAACAACCACCAGGGAGGTACTACCATCCTGTGGTAGTAGGTTGGTAGACAACAACCACCCAGGGAGGTACTACCATCCTGTGGTAGTAGGTTGGTAGACAACAACCACCCAGGGAGGTACTACCATCCTGTGGTAGTAGGTTGGTAGACAACCACCACCCAGGGAGGTACTACCATCCTGTGGTAGTAGGTTGGTAGACAACAACCACCCAGGGAGGTACTACCATCCTGTGGTAGTAGGTTGGTAGACAACAACCACCCAGGGAGGTACTGCCATCCTGTGGTAGTAGGTTGGTAGACAACAACCACCCAGGGAGGTACTACCATCCTGTGGTAGTAGGTTGGTAGACAACCACCCAGGGAGGTACTACCCTCCTGTGGTAGTAGGTTGGTAGACAACAACCACCCAGGGAGGTACTACCATCCTGTGGTAGTAGGTTGGTAGACAGCAACCACCCAGGGAGGTACTACCATCCTGTGGTAGTAGGTTGGTAGACAGCAACCACCCAGGGAGGTACTACCATTCTGTGGTAGTAGGTTGGTAGACAACAACCACCCAGGGAGGTACTACCATCCTGTGGTAGTAGGTTGGTAGACAGCAACCACCCAGGGAGGTACTACCATCCTGTGGTAGTAGGTTGGTAGACAACCACCCAGGGACGTACTACCGTCCTGTGGTAGTAGGTTGGTAGACAACAACCACCCAGGGAGGTACTATCATCCTGTGGTAGTAGGTTGGTAGACAACCACCCAGGGAGGTACTACCATCCTGTGCTAGTAGGTTGGTAGACAACAACCACCCAGGGAGGTACTACCATCCTGTGGTAGTAGGTTGGTAGACAACCACCCAGGGAGGTACTACCATCCTGTGGTAGTAGGTTGGTAGACAGCAACCACCCAGGGACGTACTACCGTCCTGTGGTAGTAGGTTGGTAGACAACAACCACCCAGGGAGGTACTACCATCCTGTGGTAGTAGATTGGTAGACAGCAACCACCCAGGGAGGTACTACCATCCTGTGGTAGTAGGTTGGTATACAACAACCACCCAGGGAGGTACTACCGTCCTGTGGTAGTAGGTTGGTAGACAACAACCACCCAGGGAGGTACTACCATCCTGTGGTAGTAGGTTGGTAGACAACAACCACCCAGGGAGGACCTACCATCCTGTGGTAGTATGTTGGTAGACAACAACCACCCAGGGAGGTACTACCATCCTGTGGTAGTAGGTTGGGAGACAACAACCACCCAGGGAGGTACTACCGTCCTGTGGTAGTAGATTGGTAGACAACAACCACCCAGGGAGGTACTACCATCCTGTGGTAGTAGGTTGGTAGACTACAACCACCCAGGGAGATACTACCATCCTGTGGTAGTAGGTTGGTAGACAACAACCACCCAGGGAGGTACTACCATCCTGTGGTAGTAGGTTGGTAGACAACCACCCAGGGAGGTACTACCATCCTGTGGTAGTAGGTTGGTAGACAACAACCACCCAGGGAGGTACTACCATCCTGTGGTAGTAGGTTGGTAGACAACAACCACCCAGGGAGGTACTACCATTCTGCCAAATGAGCGTTAAACAGAAACCTGTAATTGTTTTACATGATGGTAGGATTGCTGGTGTCTTTTTTGTTACATAAACATTTATGAAGGGGTTCAGGGAAACCGGCAGGCCGGACTTGAGTCCTGGAGATGGGAAGTACAGTGCCTGCACTCTGAAGGAGGGGTGTTAATGTTGCAGTTTAAAAACTGTAGTATAAAGCACCCTTCTGGCAAGACAGTGATGGAGTGAATGATGGTGAAAGTTTTTCTTTTTCGGGCCACCCTGCCTTGGTGGGAATCGGCCAGTGTGATAATAAAAAAAATAAATAATAAACACACAGGATACGAGGTATGTCTTCCACTTACACTTAGGTCACACTACACATGCATGTACACACATATATTTATACACCTATCTGGGTTTTCTTCTATTTTCTTAATAGTTCTTGTTCTTCTTTATTTCCTCTTACCTCCATGGGAAATGGAAAAGAATTCTTCCTCCATAAGCCATGCGTGTCGTAAGAGGTGATGAAAATGCCGGGAGCAAGGGGCTAGTAACTCCTCCTCCTGTATAAATTACTAAATTTAAAAAAAAAAAAAAGCTTTGGTTTTTCTTTTTAGGTCACCCTGCCTTGGTGGGATATGCTCAGTTCATTGAAAAAAAAATGGCTGTCCACAACATATCTCATGTTTGTGTGTCTCTGTGAGTGCTGTGAGGGTGTCATTCCCTTCTGCGATCCTTTCTTGTCATTTTAGGCCCTAAAATGAGGCAGGATTCAGCATTTTGCACATTTTGGTTTGGTGTTGTAATAATGGTACTGACTGACCTTGTACAGCCCCTGGTGTACTTACCTCTGCTGTCTCCAGCATTGATTATGCATTTGTTTGTTGTACATTGAGCATGTTGAGGGCACTACTGTTGTACATGTACTAGTTATGTAGTGTTGTACATGTATGACTTGTGTTATACATAGTCTTGTACACAGTAGCCCGTGGCTTGGTAGACAAAGCTCTCGCTTCACACACTGAGGGTCTGGGTTCAATCCCCAGCAAGGATGGAAACATTGAGTGTGTAAGAAAACACATCCATATTTACCCATCAGTAAAATAGGTACCTGGGTGTTAGTGGACTGGTGTGAGTCGCATCCTGGGTGTTAGTGGACTGGTGTGGGTCACATCCTGGGTGTTAGTGGACTGGTGTGGGTTGCATCCTGGGACAAAATTGACCTAATTTGCAGGAAATGGCTCTGGTGGCCTGGTGGTTAACGCTCTCGCTTCACACGGTGAGGACCTGGGTTCGATTCCCAGCCAGAGTAGAAAAATTGGACGTGTTTCTTTCCACCTGTTGTCTATGTTCCCCATCAGTAAAATGAGTACCTGGGTGTTAGTCGACTGGTGTGGGTCGCATCCTGGGACACTGACCTAAGGAGGCCTGGTCACAGACCAGGCCGCGGGGGCGTTGACCCCCGGAACTCTCTCCAGGTAATCCATAACAAGCAGCTTTCTACATAGTAGTATGTCATTCATGTCAGCTGTGCTCTGTATACCTTGTACATGTACTGGTAGAAATATATTATGTACTGCTGTACATGCCTTGTACTACCTCTGTAGCGTTATAAATGTTTTGTACTAGTTATGTAGTGTTGTACATTGTATGACTTGTGTTGTACATGTCTTGTACTTATGTAGTGTTGTACATGTCTTGTACTACTTGTACAACACTTCTTATGTAGTGCTGTACATATCTTGTACTACTTATGTATTGTACATGCCTTGTACTACCTCTGTAGTATTGTACATCTCTTCCATGACTTAGTATTATACATGTCTTGTACAAGTTACAGAATATAAGAGGAAACTGTACTAAAACAAGACAGTTATTTAAATTTTATTTTGAAAGCTTGTTATATATAATAAAAATGTGCTGACCAGCTGAAATTTTTTCAAAAAGGTTTTGAAATTATTGTATATCACAAAAGACCTACTTTATTTACGAACAGAACATCTACAGAATCTTAATGAAATTCGCTGCGTACGGAATATTTCTTGACATGTTAAAATAAGTTCGAACTGCTTTAAATATTGATACTAAACTGAAAAACTCACATGAACTTGGACGCATTCGAAATGTTCGGTTCCTTGTTCGTTACCTCGAAAAGCAACAAATTTTTTTCAACACTATACTGGATTCATGGTGTGTGTAAAGGCACGAAAATTGAGCGTCGTTGCTGTCGATGTCCGTCAACTCATCCATGACGGATTTTTATTATTGTATGTGTCACCTGTCGCCTCTAAGTTTAACATGCATACACCTGCACATATAGTAGGACCCCCGTATCCATGGCTTCAGTTATCCGTGGTTTACCATGGCCTGAAAATAAGCCTTAATTTTGCTTAATAATAATGGGTACAAAGCACATAAGTAGTGATGGTGACAGTTGTTCAAAGTCTAAGAGAAGTTGTCAAGTTCTTCCCATCACTGAAAAAGTGATAATTCTCCACTTATTGTGTGTGATTTATCAATTATACTTTATCATAGCTATATATGTAAACCCAAATTACTTGTATATATATAGTGTTCACTACTATCCAGGGTTTCTGACATCTATGGTAGTCCTTGGAAGGTATCACCCATGGATACCAGGACACTACTGTGTAGTGTTCACTACTATCTAGGGTTTCTGTCATCCATGGTAGTTCTTGGAAGGTATCACCCATGGATACCAGGACACTACTGTGTAGTGTTCACTACTATCTAGGGTTTCTGACATCCATGGTAGTTCTTGGAAGGTATCATCCATGGTTACCAGGACACTACTGTATAGTGTTCACTACTATCCAGAGTTTCTGACATCCATGGTAGTTCTTGGAAGGTATCATCCATGGTTACCAGGACACTACTGTATAGTGTTCACTACTATCCAGAGTTTCTGACATCCATGGAAGTTCTTGGAAGGTATCATCCATGGTTACCAGGACACTACTGTATAGTGTTCACTACTATCCAGAGTTTCTGACATCCATGGTAGTTCTTGGAAGGTATCACCCACAGATACCAGGACACTACTGTATAGTGTTCACTACTATCCAGAGTTTCTGACATCCATGGTAGTTCTTGGAAGGTATCATCCATGGTTACCAGGACACTACTGTATAGTGTTCACTACTATCCAGAGTTTCTGACATCCATGGTAGTTCTTGGAAGGTATCACCCACAGATACCAGGACACTACTGTATAGTGTTCACTACTATCCAGAGTTTCTGACATCCATGGTAGTTCTTGGAAGGTATCATCCATGGTTACCAGGACACTACTGTATAGTGTTCTCTACTATCCAGAGTTTCTGACATCCATGGTAGTTCTTGGAAGGTATCATCCATGGTTACCAGGACACTACTGTATAGTGTTCTCTACTATCCAGAGTTTCTGACATCCATGGTAGTTCTTGGAAGGTATCACCCACAGATACCAGGACACTACTGTATAGTGTTCACTACTATCCAAAGTTTCTGACATCCATGGTAGTTCTTGGAAGGTATCACCCACAGATACCAGGACACTACTGTATAGTGTTCACTACTATCCAGAGTTTCTGACATCCATGGTAGTTCTTGGAAGGTATCATCCATGGTTACCAGGACACTACTGTATAGTGTTCACTACTATCCAGAGTTTCTGACATCCATGGTAGTTCTTGGAAGGTATCATCCATGGTTACCAGGACACTACTGTATAGTGTTCTCTATTATCCAGAGTTTCTGACATCCATGGTAGTTCTTGGAAGGTATCATCCATGGTTACCAGGACACTACTGTATAGTGTTCACTACTATCCAGAGTTTCTGACATCCATGGTAGTTCTTGGAAGGTATCATCCATGGTTACCAGGACACTACTGTATAGTGTTCTCTACTATCCAGAGTTTCTGACATCCATGGTAGTTCTTGGAAGGTATCATCCATGGTTACCAGGACACTACTGTATAGTGTTCACTACTATCCAGAGTTTCTGACATCCATGGTAGTTCTTGGAAGGTATCATCCATGGTTACCAGGACACTACTGTATAGTGTTCACTACTATCCAGAGTTTCTGACATCCATGGTAGTTCTTGGAAGGTATCATCCATGGTTACCAGGACACTACTGTATAGTGTTCACTACTATCCAAAGTTTCTGACATCCATGGTAGTTCTTGGAAGGTATCATCCATGGTTACCAGGACACTACTGTATAGTGTTCACTACTATCCAGAGTTTCTGATATCCATGGTAGTTCTTGGAAGGTATCATCCATGGTTACCAGGACACTACTGTATAGTGTTCTCTACTATCCAGAGTTTCTGACATCCATGGTAGTTCTTGGAAGGTATCACCCACTGATACCAGGACACTACTGTATAGTGTTCACTACTATCAAGAGTTTCTGACATCCATGGTAGTTCTTGGAAGGTATCACCCACAGATACCAGGACACTACTGTATAGTGTTCTCTACTATCCAAAGTTTCTGACATCCATGGTAGTTCTTGGAAGGTATCATCCATGGATACCAGGACACTACTGTATAGTGTTCTCTACTATCCAGAGTTTCTGACATCCATGGTAGTTCTTGGAAGGTATCACCCACAGATACCAGGACACTACTGTATAGTGTTCACTACTATCAAGAGTTTCTGACATCCATGGTAGTTCTTGGAAGGTATCACCCACAGATACCAGGACACTACTGTATAGTGTTCACTACTATCCAAAGTTTCTGACATCCATGGTAGTTCTTGGAAGGTATCATCCATGGTTACCAGGACACTACTGTATAGTGTTCACTACTATCCAGAGTTTCTGATATCCATGGTAGTTCTTGGAAGGTATCATCCATGGTTACCAGGACACTACTGTATAGTGTTCTCTACTATCCAGAGTTTCTGACATCCATGGTAGTTCTTGGAAGGTATCATCCATGGTTACCAGGACACTACTGTATAGTGTTCTCTACTATCCAGAGTTTCTGACATCCATGGTAGTTCTTGGAAGGTATCACCCACAGATACCAGGACACTACTGTATAGTGTTCACTACTATCCAAAGTTTCTGACATCCATGGTAGTTCTTGGAAGGTATCATCCATGGTTACCAGGACACTACTGTATAGTGTTCACTACTATCTAGGGTTTCTGTCATCCATGGTAGTTCTTGGAAGGTATCATCCATGGTTACCAGGACACTACTGTATAGTGTTCACTACTATCCAGAGTTTCTGACATCCATGGTAGTTCTTGGAAGGTATCATCCATGGTTACCAGGACACTACTGTATAGTGTTCACTACTATCCAGAGTTTCTGACATCCATGGTAGTTCTTGGAAGGTATCATCCATGGTTACCAGGACACTACTGTATAGTGTTCACTACTATCCAGAGTTTCTGACATCCATGGTAGTTCTTCGAAGGTATCATCCATGGTTACCAGGACACTACTGTATAGTGTTCACTACTATCCAGAGTTTCTGACATCCATGGTAGTTCTTGGAAGGTATCATCCATGGTTACCAGGACACTACTGTATAGTGTTCACTACTATCCAGAGTTTCTGACATCCATGGTAGTTCTTGGAAGGTATCACCCATGGTTACCAGGACACTACTGTATAGTGTTCACTACTATCCAGAGTTTCTGACACCCATGGTAGTTCTTGGAAGGTATCATCCATGGTTACCAGGACACTACTGTATAGTGTTCACTACTATCCAGAGTTTCTGACATCCATGGTAGTTCTTGGAAGGTATCACCCATGGATACCAGGACACTACTGTATAGTGTTCACTACTATCCAGAGTTTCTGACATCCATGGTAGTTCTTGGAAGGTATCACCCATGGTTACCAGGACACTACTGTATAGTGTTCACTACTATCCAGAGTTTCTGACATCCATGGTAGTTCTTGGAAGGCATCACCCACGGATACAAGGGGACTACCATATTATATTTACATACTTAAAAAAAAAGACGACTTTGTTTTATGAATGCATCAGCATTACATAAATTTTCAAAATTGTGTATTTTAAGTCTCAATGAGCTGATTTATTAAAGCTAGGTCCCTATAAAGTAGTCAAAATACAGGAATTAAAATTGTTGCTTTAAATATTTTGCTTTAAGCTTTAAGGAGTCCTGGTTTGAAGTATCAATGCTGCACATTGCCAATGTGGTTAGGCTAGAGTAGCTAAATTATAATCATAAGCGCTAAACCCAAAAGGGCTGCACAGCGCAGCTAGATAGATCGTTCCTTAAGATTAGCAGATGGAGGTTCAAGTCCCCCCACAACTCCTGCGTTCAATGGCCCACACAGGTTTGTCACATCATCTAGTCAATCTAGATATGACTGACGGTAATGATGCAAGTTAACCGTGCTTAAATTAACCACTGAATTTCAATTATCGTATTTTCCCGGCACATAAGACGCATGAGAATACAAGACATATAGACGCACAATTATGCAAGACATGTTATACTGTGTTTCTCAGCAGTTGTAACCAGAGGCAGATCTACCATGAAAGTAATAAAGCTCAGCTTCAGGGACCCTGTAACAGTTCAAGCTTCAGGGACCCTGTAACAGTTCAAGCTTCAGGGACCCTGTAATAGTTCAAGCTTCAGGGACCCTGTAACAGTTCAAGATTCAGGGACCCTGTAATAGTTCAAGCTTCAGGGACCCTGTAACAGTTCAAGATTCAGGGACCCTGTAACAGTTCAAGCTTCAGGGACCCTGTAATAGTTCAAGCTTCAGGGACCCTGTAACAGTTCAAGCTTCTGGGACCCTGTAACAGTTCAAGCTTCAGGGACCCTGTAACAGTTCAAGCTTCAGGGACCCTGTAACAGTTCAAGCTTCAGGGACCCTGTAATAGTTCAAGCTTCAGGGACCCTGTAACAGTTCAAGCTTCAGGGACCCTGTAACAGTTCAAGATTCAGGGACCCTGTAACAGTTCAAGCTTCAGGGACCCTGTAACAGTTCAAGCTTCAGGGACCCTGTAACAGTTCAAGCTTCAGGGACCCTGTAACAGTTCAAGCTTCAGGGACCCTGTAACAGTTCAAGCTTCAGGGACCCTGTAATAGTTCAAGCTTCAGGGACCCTGTTACAGTTCAAGCTTCAGGGACCCTGTAATAGTTCAAGCTTCAGGGACCCTATAACAGTTCAAGCTTCAGGGACCCTGTAATAGTTCAAGCTTCAGGGACCCTGTAATAGTTCAAGCTTCAGGGACCCTGTAATAGTTCAAGCTTCAGGGACCCTGTAACAGTTCAAGCTTCAGGGACCCTGTAACAGTTCAAGCTTCAGGGACCCTGTAACAGTTCAAGCTTCAAGGACCCTATAACAGTTCAAGCTTCAGGGACCCTGTAATAGTTCAAGCTTCAGGGACCCTGTAATAGTTCAAGCTTCAGGGACCCTGTAACAGTTCAAGCTTCAGAGACCCTGTAACAGTTCAAGCTTCAGGGACCCTGTAACAGTTCAAGCTTCAGGGACCCTATAACAGTTCAAGCTTCAGGGACCCTGTAATAGTTCAAGCTTCAGGGACCCTGTATCAGTTCAAGCTTCAGGGACCCTATAACAGTTCAAGCTTCAGGGACCCCATAACAGTTCAAGCTTCAGGGACCTCATAACAATTCAAGCTTCAGGGCCCCCCATAACAGTTCAAGCTTCAGGGCCCCCATAACAGTTCAAACTTCAGGGCCACAAAAATGTAGGACCGTCACTGGTTGTAACAATTTTAGAATATAAGGTTTGTCAGGAAACAGGACAAATGTTTCCTGACATGGGTTTTAGTTATATGATGACCCAGAGCTGGAGCTTTTGGTCATCTGACCAAAGCCTTCCACTAGCTTACCTCTCCACCTCTTTAAAATTCACAATTTAACATCAGTAAACAACTGCTAGAGCCTAGCACAAAGCCTGACCTTGACCCTGACCTTGACCCTGACCTTGACCCTGACCTTGACCCTGACCTTGAGTACGTAAGACGCAGGATGATTTCCCATGATTTTTTGTGGGAAGAAAAGCGCGTTATATGCCGGCAAATACGGTAGATTGTTTTAAAACGCAGCGTTTGTCAAGCAAGGCGTGTCAGAGTTACTGACCAGGCGTAGCTGAGGTAGAGTTGCCGGGTAAGGAACACACGACTGGAAGGAACTGACCTCAAAATGTGAATACATGGTTTCGAAAACCAACAGGTTGATGAACAAGACGCTTGCGAAAAATATAAATATCTTTATTCTGATAATGTCTGGCCAGCCAGTGGCTTCTTCAGTCCAATGAAGGTGGAAGATGTGGAGGAGTTTGAGGCGATCAATCCCACTGACTGGAGTGTTCAGTCCATCAATCAAAACAGACTGAATGCACTGACTTGAGCCTGAGGGACTGACCACCTTAAACTCCTCCTTGTCTTCCACCTTTTTCTGCATTGGACTGAAGAAGCTACTGGCTGGCCAAACCTTTCCAGAACAAAGATACCCAAATGCCACACAAGTATCTCATTTATCGACCTCGAAATGCCAAGTAAGCGCAGAGCTCGTAGAGCCCAATTATAACGACCCAAAGCGAGTCTCAGACAACCAACAGATATATGAACCCTCAAAATCCTATAATCGTATAGTCTATACGGCACGCACACTAACTATACGGAAAAAAAAAAGGCTAGTTCAATCACACATCAAAATCTCCATCTTACTAAAAGCATACAGTAAACAAGACTGAAACAAATACAGTGGACCCCCGCATAACGATCACCTCCAAATGCGACCAATTATGTAAGTGTATTTATGTAAGTGCGTTTGTACGTGTATGTTTGGGGGTCTGAAATGGACTAATCTACTTCACAATATTCTTTATGGGAACAAATTCGGTCAGTACTGGCACTTGAACATACTTCTGGAGTGAAAAAATATCGTTAACCGGGGGTCCACTCTATATCGAACATTACGAAACCTAACATTCGCTTGAACCTTGAACTGACTTAATGCCTAGGAACAAGAAATATAAAAATACTATGTGCTAGTTAAATATTAAGAGTGAAGATATAAGAGGAGCCGACATTGTATGGCTACGAGAAAACTGTAATTGAGATGCTCGTACTTAGTTTATACTTAAGGCTATACTAACATACGTGGTTTATTAACAAGATTCTTATAGTATACTTTAGCGTATCAAGACGTGACTTAAGTACTGTACAAGTTTTAAATGTGGGGGTTCGTGGGGTACAACATGAGCTACCTTGACTTTACGATGGTTTGACTTACAATATTTCAGCTTTACGATGGTTCTACTTACAATATTTCAGCTTTACGATGGTTCTACTTACAATAATTCAGCTTTACAATGGTTCTACTTACAATATTTCAACTTTACGGTGGTTCAACTTACAATATTTCAACTTTACGATGGTTCAACTTACAATATTTCAACTTTACGATGGTTCAACTTACAATATTTCAACTTTACGGTGGTTCAACTTACAATATTTCACCTTTACAATGGTTCAACTTACAATATTTCAACTTTACGATGGTTCAACTTACAATATTTCAACTTTACGGTGGTTCAACTTACAATATTTCAACTTTACAATGGTTCAACTTACAATATTTCAACTTTACAATGGTTCAACTTACAATATTTCAACTTTACGGTGGTTCAACTTACAATATTTCAACTTTACGATGGTTCAACTTACAATATTTCACCTTTACAATGGTTCAACTTACAATATTTCAACTTTACGATGGTTCAACTTACAATATTTCAACTTTACGGTGGTTCAACTTACAATATTTCAACTTTACAATGGTTCAACTTACAATATTTCAACTTTACAATGGTTCTAGTTACAATATTTCAACTTTACAATGGTTCTAGTTACAATATTTCAACTTTACAATGGTTCAACTTACAATATTTCAACTTTACAATGGTGCAGCAACAATTACTTTGGAGATGAAACTTAAGATAATTACCCAGCATGAAGACAGCAAGTTCCTAACTTGTATTCATTTATTGACTTTTCAATACTGTATTAACTTAGTTACAGTAATTTGTTTATTGACTTATTCAGTGATAGTAGTTATTTACTGACTTATTGATTTAGCATATCGTATTCATTTTTGACTTACGATATTTTCTACGTATGATATTTTCGACTTACAATGGATTCATCAGAACGTAACCCCATAGTAAGTCAAGAAGCCCCTGTACTTATCAAACACAATACAGTGGTACCTCGGGATATGAAGGGTTCAAAACTCAAACAATTATGTAAGTATATTTATGTAAGTGCTTCTGTAAGTGTATTTTTGGGGGTCTGAAATGGATTAATCGAATTTACATTATTCCTTTTGGGAATAAATTCATTCGGTATCACCACTCGAAGAGCGTTCTGGAACAAATTAAGTTCGTATCCCGAGGTACCACTGTATATCTCAGTGGCTAATAAACCAATAATTGTAAACAGAAAAGATACTATTACTGGTCCATTAAAAAGCATTTACTATAAACTAGAATACCAAAATGGCATTGAAAAAGCCTTAAGTCACTATACGAAAATATTGTACACTCTGGGTAACATATTTCGCCCCAAATATGCAATATTTCCACACATATTAACCAGCATATACAGAGTACAGGAAATTCTCAGGTTACAGTCATAATACAGTAAGTCCTCAGCTACAAACACATTGTGGACTTCCTGTATTGTATAAAATAATATTATACACAATACAAAACAATCTCAACTTGTTTGTGAGTCAAGGACTCACTGTACTACCTTGTACATGAACTAAAATGCAGCAATGTACTTAACTGTGATATTAGTACCGGTGGGTTGCTAGTAGCAACAGCCTGGTTGACCAGGGCTCAAGCTGTGCTTGGAGGGTAGCAGGCTGTCAGAGATATGCATAATGATGGAATATGTGGGTGTTGCAAGCCTGGAGCAACACCGTCGCAGTCTTGCATATTCTTGTTCCTGGTAGATTAGTGAACGCGTGTCGGGTACGATTTGCTTAATGAACAAATAATTGGAAAATAAAAATGTTCACTGCTGAACTAGGACGTATGCCAGTCACTCACTGTTAACAGTACACAGTTCAATACTGAACAGTACATACACCAGTCACTCACTGTTAAGAATATACAATACAATATTGATCAGTACCTATACCAGTCACTTAATGGTACACAGTACAATATTGATCAGTACCTATACCAGTCACTTAATGGTACACAATACAATATTGATCAGTACCTACACAATATAATATTGATCAGTACCTACACAGTAGGTAGGTACCTCACAGAGGTATGTAACACCCACAGTACCAAACACAGGTCTTAAAACACATACAAAACAAGTACCACTCCACAAACATAACTGTACACATTCTAACACATACCACACGCGTCCCTCTCTCAATCTGATCAACCCAAGAACCACTCCCTTCCCTAGGATCAAAACCAAGGTTTTTATTACAATTCCATCAATATAGGCTGTAATATTCTTTTTTAAATATTATTTTAGTTTAAAAATTATCCGGTGTATAAAATATCTGAATCTGTTATATTCGAGTTGATGTATTGTTTACAATGTTCAGGGACATATTACATTGGATAACCAGATTATGTCACCCAGGATATCCTATATTGGATTATTAGATTATATCCCCCAGGATATCAGAACATCCACTACATCATTCATCACTTCCAGATAATTTCCAATACAGTGTCACTTCCGGATAACCTCCGATACAATGTCACTTCTGGATAACCTCTAATACACTGTCCCTTCAGGATAACCTCCGACACATTGTCCTTTCTGGATAACCTTCAATAGCCTTGACCGCCCCGGATAATCACCTAGGCACTGAGGGAGGCCTGTTTGGCCAGCTTTCTGGCTTGTACCCGCCAAATACACGGGATGAAGAAAAGCATTACGCCAGACACAGCGATCATACTGCCGGCCAATAGGAAGCTGTAGTGGTACGAGTCTGTCACGTCGAACAACGCACCTGTAATGCCAATTATAATTACTTCTAGGCCTAAGTTTAATATCTTCATTATGCATTACAAACCTAAAATGTTTAAAATAAAGTTAGTTATATTCCTAAAATTATAATAAAAATAGTTCTTCTTTTTTCAACAAACCGGCCGTATCCCACCAAGGCAGGGTGGCCCAAAAAGAAAACAAAAGTTTCTCTTTTTTAAATTTAGTAATTTATACAGGAGATGGGGTTACTAGCCCCTTGCTCCCGGCATTTTAGTCGCCTCTTACAACATGCATGGCTTACGGAGGAAGAATTCTGTTCCACTTCCCCATGGAGATAAGAGGAAATAAATAAGAACAAGAACTAGAAAGAAAATAGAAGAAAATCCAGAGGGGTGTGTATATATGCTTGTACATGTATGTGTAGTGTGACCTAAGTGTAAGTAGAAGTAGCAAGATGTACCTGAAATCTTGCATGTTCATGAGACAGAAAAAAGACACCAGCAATCCTACCATCATGTAAAACAATTACAGGCTTTCGTTGTACACTCACTTGGCAGGATGGTAGTACCTCCCTGGGTGGTTGCTGTCTACCAACCTACTACCTAGGATAAAGCTAGTTATAGGCCTAAAATAATAAAAGGTTTATACTAAAGCTAGTTATAGGCCTAAAATAATAAAAGGTTTATATTAAAGCTAGTTATAGGCCTAAATTGTATATACTAAAGCTAGTTATAGGCCTAAATTGTATATAATAAAGCTAGTTATAGGCCTAAATTGTATATAATAAAGCTAGTTATAGGCCTAAATTGTATATAATAAAGCTAGTTATAGGCCTAAAATGACAAAAAGGTTTATATGAAAGTTAGTTTTAGGTCTAAAAATGACAAAAAATTATAGAGAAGTTAGTTTTAGGCCTAAAATAAAAAGCTTTAAAGTTAGTGAAGAAAAATTGATCTATCATTCTATAAAATATTTAAAAAAAGTTTTCTAAAGGCAGTATAGGCCTATTAGGCTGAATAATTTGACCCAAAAGACACATATACGACACATGGGTATGTTCAAAGCCTAAAAAATTCATTCATGAAGATACATAAATGATTATTGAAAAAATTAATCTGTACAAAATTTTTAAAATTGATCATTTAGGCTCAGACACATGTGCAACACATAGGCCTCTTCACAGCCTAAATATGTCCAACATGAAGGTCATCAGTCACTGAGGTCGTCAGTCATTGAGGTCGTCAGTCATTGAGGTCGTCAGTCATTGAGGTCGTCAGTCATTTAGGTAGTCAGTCGTTGAGATCGTCAGTCATTTAGGTAGTCAGTCGTTGAGATCGTCAGTCGTTGAGGTCATCAGTCATTGAGATCGTCAGTCATTGAGGTCATCAGTCGCTGCAGATATCTACAAAATTGTCCAGCAGCAGAATAACCAGAATATCCAGCTTATCATCCAGCAGGAGAATAACCAGGATATCCAGCCAATTATCCAGCAGGAGAATAACCAGGATATCCAGCCAATTATCCAGCAGGAGAACCAGGATATCCAGCCAATTATCCAGCAGGAGAATAACCAGGATATCCAGCCAATTATCCAGCAACACTCACCACACATGGGGGGACCAATGACCGAAGCAATGCCCTGGAACATAAGCAGAAGACCAAAGGCATTCGTCAGTCGTTCCATGCCCAGCAGGTCGACCAGCACCACGGAGGTCAGTCCCACGTAGGCCCCAGACATAGAGCCGAACACCACTGCATATAATATTTGCAACGCGTAGCTGTTGAACCATATACTGATGCAGGTTCCTGTTGCAAGACAATGTATCCTAGAATGATTCTAATGATGATAATAATAATAATGATAGTGATAACAGCTTATGATAACTTGCATAACCACATTATATAGTTATAGTTATAAAGCAAACGATGTTAAATCAGGCACCATATTAACAAGGTATGCCCATGGTGCCCAGTCTGGGGTACTAACCGATGCCACACAGAGTGAGAGATGCATTGTACAGGTAGAGTCGATTCACCCATGCCTGGTCTGATATATACCCCAGGAAGATTCGACTCACTGGTTGATATACCACACGGCCACTAAGAAAAGATGCTGTCAGGATCTATGTTGGGGCACGTCTGTGGAAGATTCTGTTTCATTACAAATTTCGTCTAAGAGGAAAAAATTCGGTTCAGTACTGGCACCTGAACATACTACTGAATGAAAAAAGTTCGTTAACCGGGGTCCACTGTAGTTACAAATATTTACAGTCCTAAGAGGGATATACCTTGTTTCATTTACAAATATTTACAGTCCTAAGAGGGATATACCTTGTTTCATTTACAAATATTTATGGTCCTGTGGAGAGATATACCTTGTTTCATTTACAAATATTTACGGTCCTAAGAGGGATATACCTTGTTTCATTTACAAATATTTACGGTCCTAAGAGGGATATACCTTGTTTCATTTACAAATATTTACGGTCCTAAGAGGGATATACCTTGTTTCATTTACAAATATTTACGGTCCTAAGAGGGATATACCTTGTTTCATTTACAAATATTTATGGTCCTGTGGAGAGATATACCTTGTTTCATTTACAAATATTTACAGTTCTAAGAGGGATATACCTTGTTTCATTTACAAATATTTATGGTCCTAAGAGGGATATACCTTGTTTCATTTACAAATATTTACAGTCCTAAGAGGGATATACCTTGTTTCATTTACAAATATTTACGGTCCTAAGAGGGATATACCTTGTTTCATTTACAAATATTTACAGTCCTAAGAGGGATATACCTTGTTTCATTTACAAATATTTACAGTCCTAAGAGGGATATACCTTGTTTCATTTACAAATATTTACAAACAAGAAAATTTGATGGGTGACTTTTTTGGCAATGCAGAGTTAAGTTCCATAGAATGTTATAAGTTGTTCAAACCATAGAACTATGGTACTGACCCAGTGTTCACCATAGAACTATGGTACTGACCCAGTGTTCACCATAGAACTATGGTACTGACCCAGTGTTCACCATAGAACTATGGTACTGACCCAGTGTTCACCATAGAACTATGGTACTGACCCAGTGTTCACCATAGAACTATGGTACTGACCCAGTGTTCACCATAGAACTATGGCACTGACCCAGTGTTCACCACAGAACTATGGCACTGACCCAGTGTTCACCACAGAACTATGGCACTGACCCAGTGTTCACCATAGAACTATGGTACTGACCCAGTGTTCACCATAGAACTATGGCACTGACCCAGTGTTCACCATAGAACTATGGTACTGACCCAGTGTTCACCACAGAACTATGGCACTGACCCAGTGTTCACCACAGAACTATGGCACTGATCTTCAAGGGATTAAAACTATGAATATATTCAACACTATGCTATACAAAATACCAATCAATTATTTAAAGGACTATGGTACTTACGACTATGAATATATACGGAGCGTTGAAGCCAATGGACGTACAGAAGTTTGAGATGGCAAAGAGTATGAAGATGCCATCTGTGAGGAGCCCCCAGTCCATTAAGCTGGTCATGGCGTCTCTGGTCTCCCTTGAGCATGGCGCGCACCCACACACCTGTCGTTAGCAATGAGGTGTTAGTAAACAGGCCGTTAACTAAAACCATGAAAGTAGAACCCCCGTATCCAATGATTTGGTATTCATGGTTTCAGTTACCATGGTTTACTGTGGCCCAACAATACCTCTTAATTTTGCATAATAATGGCCCTAAAGTGCTAAAGTAGTGATGGTGACAGTTGTTCAAAGTCTAAGAGAAGTTGTGAAGTTCCTCCCATCAGTGAAAAAGTGATAATTCTCCATTTATTGTGCATAATTTATAATTATACTTTATAATAGGTATGTACAGCACTTATATATAGTGTTTGCTACTATCCAGGGTTTCAGTATCCACGGCAGGTCCTTGGAACGTATCCTCCGAGAATACGGGCGTGTCCTACTGTACCAAAAAACACGAACTCTGTACACACGTACGCAATAATTTCAAAATACCAATGCATTAAGGAAAGGAGACTGTAGAAAGCACGAAGTGTTGCTAGTCGGAATAACGTACGTTGGTCCCCAATTCTATTTATTTTTATGTTTAAATCTCTTGATATATCCCTAAGTTGACATATTTCATAAATTGGATTAAAGTCCTTTATTTTTTGCTTTCCAGTGCCACTGAGGGATTTTTTTTTTTGTAATGTATAGTGTGACAAAATGTAGTACAATAAAAATTTGAAATATACAGCTATATCACGTGTGTAAGCCTTAGGCCTAGTCTGCAAGAAGTGCTCAGGTATGTTAATGGCTGTCTTTGTATTTAGTAATACTTTATAACATGTCAATTACACATTGTATATTATGCAAAGAAATAATATCTGTAAACAAACCATACCATGGGTGGGGTTAGAACCTGCAATCAGAGAGTCATAAAACTCCAGACTGATGTGTTAGCCACTGGGCCAGCTGACTACAATAAGATTCATCCAAGTAGGTATATTTACACACCATAGGAAGGTTAGCACAGGCCACCACTGTGACCCCACCCGTGGTATGGTTTGTTTGCAATCATGTCATTACAATTTCATGAGTGAAATAACATCTGTATTTGTACAGTAAGTCCTCAACTTAAAAACAAGTTGACAATCTTCTGTATTGTGTATACAGTGGACCCCCGCATAACGATTACCTCCGAATGCGACCAATTATGTAAGTGTATTTATGTAAGTGTGTGTGTACGTGTATGTTTGGGGGTCTGAAATGGACTAATCTACTTCACAATATTCCTTATGGGAACAAATTCGGTCAGTACTGGCACCTGAACATACTTCTGGAGTGAAAAAATATCGTTAACCGGGGGTCCACTGTATTATAATTATTATTATAGACGATACAGAAGGTCCCAGTGTGTTTATAAGTCAAGGACTTATTGTATAGTAAAAACACAAACCAGTAACGTGGTAATACGTTACACAGCGACGGCCATGACATCGCTAGACAATAGGAATTGTTGATTATAATCCTATGGGACCATTGTTGTACATGTGGTGCATCAATGGCCGTAAAGTCGTTATGCAGCGCATGACTGCGTCAAAGGAATTCCAACCTTAACTTTCACAAATATACTAGCTGTACATCAATCATTCCAATGTTAGTTTTCACAAATACACTAGCTGTACATCAATCATTCCAACCTTAGCTTTCACAAATACTTTAAGCTGTACATCAATCACTCCATCTTTAGGTTTCATGAATACATTAAGCTGTACATCAATCATTCCAACATTAGCTGTCACAAATACACTAGCTATATATCAATCATTCCAATGTTAGTGTTCACAAATACACTAGCTGTACATCAATCATTCCAACCTTAGCTTTCACAAATATACTAGCTGTACATCAATCATTCCAATGTTAGTGTTCACAAATACACTAGCTGTACATCAATCATTCCAACCTTAGCTTTCACAAATACACTAGCTATATATCAATCATTCTAATGTTAGTGTTCACAAATACACTAGCTGTGCATCAACCATTCCAACCTTAGCTGTCTCCAGCTCACTGGGCGTTTTTTTCAGTGTTGGGAAGACGAACCATTGAAGCTCTGTAGCTGCCAGGATCCTGCCTGCATAGGAAAGTAAGATATACTACAGGGAATTCTATTGGTGCGCAGGTAAGTGCAGTCCACGGCCCTGATGATGGTGCTAGTCTAAGGTTTTTTCTACAGGGTTATGGGGGGAAAAATTATTTATATTAAACAAAAAATAATGAAAAATATTCTTGACCTATGCTAAATTCTAACTGCAAGTTAATGTAACCAGCAAGGGCTATAATGAGGTTTTGAAGTACAGCCGTACCCCGCCCTATGTCACTGATTGGTTCCAAGAGCCATGACGTAACTCGGTTTTTGACGTAAAGTGGATGTAATGCCTTAAAATGATGACACTGTAAAACTGGTGCAAATAACTCCCAAAAGAATATAACTAAACTTTAAGGAACACTAAAAATGCCTTTTAGTCATGCTTTTTAAAGAATGATGAACACAGTTAAAAAAATTATGACGTAAGTGACATTGCTGAGTGACGTAATGTCGACGTAATGACATTCGACAAACTGAAATTTACTCTAGAAAAGAGCAGTGTAAAGGCAAATTAAATGTAGGCCCGAACAATGTAAAGCGGGGAATGACCGTACGGGTCAAAATTCATTTGGAAAAGTTAACGTAATTTATCCGTCTATCAATAGATGTTTTCTATGATTTTTAGCATGTGATGTACAATTATCATCAATATTATATACAAAATATAGCAAATATAGAGATACTGAGGGTCCTCAACATACTATGGGGTTATGTTGCGAACCAACCCATCGTAAGTTGAAACTGACGTAAGTTGAAAATTTAGCAAGCTGAAAATATCGTAAAGTTGAAATACTGTAAGTTGAATCATTGTAAAGTTGAAATATTGTAAGTTAAACCATCATAAAGTTGAAATGTTGTAAGTAGAACCATCATAAAGTTGAAATGTTGTAAGTAGAACCATTGTAAAGTTGCAATATTGTAAGTAGAACCATCGTAAAGTTGCAATATTGTAAGTTGAACCATCGTAAAGTTGCAATATTGTAAGTAGAACCATCGTAAAGTTGCAATATTGTAAGTAGAACCATCGTAAAGTTGCAATATTGTAAGTAGAACCATCGTAAAGTTGCAATATTGTAAGTTGAACCATCGTAAAGTTGCAATATTGTAAGTAGAACCATCGTAAAGTTGCAATATTGTAAGTTGAACCATTGTAAGTTGAGAGCCACCCAGGTCTGCTTGCTTTACAATGGTTTGACTTACAAATCAAAATATCAATGGTGCGACAGCACTACATCTACTGTACATGTACAACATAGCAGCACATGTACTGTACCTGTATCATCCTTGGGTAATCAAGCCAATGTACTATAAAACATTTTTTTGTACAGTACTGTACAGTACTGTACTGTACATTTATTGATTGTATAAACTTTTATTTATTTAATGACTTTTCAATACTAATCGAAGTTCAGACTTGCATGCACAGGAGTCCCGATCGGCAAGATGCATACAGCTATGAGGGTACCTTTACCAAATTCAACTTCAACAACAAGAACATCGTCTGGGATCAGGTAAACTATGCCCTAAATGAAAGCTGCTGGGAGGATATCTTAAATTACATGGACCCTAACCAATGCCTCGAAAAGATCACCCTCCTAGAAGCTGAGGTATGTTCAAGGTATATTCCTATAAGACAAAAGAAAAGAAGAAGTAAACTGGAGAGAGAGAGAGACGCTCCCTCTACAGGAGAAGACGAAGAATCATTGAGCTCCTCAAGGATGCCAGATTATCTGATACATGGAAGGAAGTGCTAACCAGGGAAGTGGAAAATATTGACTTAAAGTTAAAGGGCTCATACAGGATCCAGGAGAGACAAGAGGATCTAAAAGCGATTAATGAAATTGAAGGAAATTAAAAATATTTCTTTTCATATGCCAAAAACAAGTCAAAAACCACTTCTAGTATAGGGCCCTTGCTCAGACAAGACGGATCCTACACAGACGACAACAAAGAAATGAGTGAGATACTGAAATCGCAATATAACTCAGTGTTCAGCGAAACACTAACCAGTTTAACCCTTTCAGGGTTGGTGCCGTACTAGTATGGCTTGCACGCCAGGGTTGGTGCCGTACTAGTACGCATAAATTCTAGTGCCTTCAAATCTAGCGAGAGAAAGCTGGTAGGCCTACATATGAAAGAATGGGTCTATGTGGTCAGTGTGCACAGTATAAAAAATCCTGCAGCACACAGTGCATAACGATCATGTTTTTGGTTTAAAACAGTGATTTTGCAGTGTATTTTTGTATGCTATTTATGGTTGTATTCTAGTTTTCCTGGTCTCATTTTATAGAATGAAAGACATCTTATGGAAATTGAGATGATTTTGATTGGTTTCACAAGGAAAAGTACCTTGAAACTGAGCTCAAAGTAGCAGAAATGTTTGATTTTTGCCAAAGTTCAAAGGTAAACAAATCATGCCACACGTCCAGTACATGACAACTGGCAAGTCTAATACATATTCTTTCACAAGTGCACTGATATTATTTATTCCATTTCTACACGAATTCAGTAGTCTGCATAACAGTAAATCTTCTATTTTTTGAGAATAAAAATTCAAAGTGGAAAGCAAAAGAAATGTAGCAGAGGCCTGGGAACGTGAGTAATCAACAGAGGAAATGTTATTTTAGTGCCAGGAATGTCTGTCTTGTTTATTCTGGACCCTATTTGGAAATTGGCATCCTCTGAAATTTGTGTGAAAATGGCAAAATTGCCAATTTCTGATCACGTTACTGGTTAGTTGAAATCGGTAAATGGGTGGTTTCTTGTACTCATTCGATAGACAAAATGGAGTTCTAGCGAAATAGGTATGATTGTTGTCGAGTGGTGCATTGGAATTGGCCGATAATAGGGCTCAAAGTGGGCGAAATCGCCGATGCGTAAACATCATTGAGACCACTAACTTCGCGAGAGCATAATTCCGTATGTTTTCCATCAAATTTCATACTTTTGGTGTCATTATGATCGGAAAAAGATTCTCTATCATTTCATAAGAAAAAATACTTATTTTTTTTTTTTCGAAACATTTCCGACCCTGAGAACAAGTTTAGGAGAGGCCCTGCCGACCCTGAAAGGGTTAAAGATAGACAATCCAAATAATTTTTTCATGAATGAGCCTCAAAACCCTGCCAATGTAGGCCAGATTTATGACATAACCCTAACTCCACTAGACTTTGAGAAAGCCATCGACAACATGCCCATGCACTCAGCCCCAGGCCCAGACTCGTGGAACTCGGTGTTCATTAAAAACTGCAAGAAATCCCTCTCATGGGCCCTAAGTATGCTATGGAGAAGGAGCTTAGACACAGGTGAGATTCCACAGTCACTAAAAACAACAGATATAGCCCCACTCTCTAAAGGTGGCAGCAAAGCAGTAGCTAAGAACTATAGACCAACAGCTTTAATATCCCACATTATAAAAATCTTTGAAAGAGTTCTAAGAAGCAGGATAGCAAACCATCTGGACTCCCAAAAATTGCACAACCCAGGGCAACATGGGTTCAGAGCAGGTTGCTCCTGCCTCTCGCAATTGCTAGACCACTATGATATGGTCCTAGATGCCCTGGAAAAGAAACAGAATGCAGATGCAGTATACACAGACTTTGCAAAAGCCTTTGACAAGTGCGACCATGGTGTATTAGCACACAAAATGCATGCTAAAGGGATAACCGGCAAAGTAGGCAGATGGATCTTCAACTTTCTAACCAGTTGCACGCAAAGAGTAGTGGTAAAGAGAGTTAAATCAGATGCTGCCATAGTGAAGAGCTCTGTCCCACAAGCCACAGTATCCGCACCTATCCTGTTCCTTATTCTCATATCAGACATAGACAGAGATGTAAACCACAGCACTGTATCATCTTTTGCAGACGATACTAGGATCTGCATGAGACTGCCATCTATTGAGGACACTGTTAACCTCCAAGAAGATATAAACCAAGTTTTCCAGTGGGCAACAGAGAACAATATGATGTTCAATGAAGACAAATTCCAACTACTCCGTTATGGAAAACTGGAGGAAATAATAACTAGGACTGAGTATACTACAAACTCCAATCACACTATAGAGCGGAAAAGTATCGTGAAGGACCGGGGTGTGGTAATGTCTGAAGACCCACCTTCAAGACCACAACAATGCCACTATCACATCTGTGAGGAAACTGATAGGATGGATAATGAGAACATTCAGGACAAGAGATGCTAAGCCCAACAATGATCCTTTTTAAATCACTTTTTCTCTCTAGGCTGGAATACTGCTGTACATTAACATCCCCATTAAAGGCAGGTGAAACTGCAGAACTAGAGAATGTACAGAGAACCTTTACTGCACGTATAAGTTTCATCAAATACCTTAACTACTGGGAACGCCTGGAAGCACTTGACTTGGTACTCACTAGAGCGCAGGCGAGAGAGTTTAATCATAATCTACACCTGGAAGATTCTGGAGGGACTGGTCCCTAAATGCACACAGCAATCACTCCATACGAAAGCAAAAGACTTGGCAGGTGATGCAACATACCCCCAGTGAAAAGTAGGGGCGTCACTGGTACACTACGAGAAAACGCGGTAAGTGTCCAGGGCCCAAGACTGTTCAACAGCCTCCCACCAGCAATAAGGGGCATTACAGGAAGACCCCTGGTTGTCTTCAAGAGGGAGCTGGACAGATACCTAAAGACAGTGCCGGATCAGCCAGGCTGTGGTTTGTACGTTGGATTGTGTGAGGCCAGCAGTAACAGCCTCGTTGATCAGGCCCTGACCCACTGGGAGGCCTGGTCGTGGACCGGACCGCGGGGGCGTTGATCCCTGGAATGCCCTCCAGGTAGACTCCAGGTAGTATAGTGACGTACTCGTTTACTGATGCCTCAAAACTACGACGGACTCTGACGAGTATTCATACCTAAATAATGTATATTAGATTTGATTTCCTCTCTACTGTTTATTACAATATACAGTACACTACTGTATAAGCATTTAAAAATATATAAGAAATGTTTTAAATGGTGCAAAGGTGACATTAAAACAATATCAAAGATGGTTGACACAAACTCACTACCATTATAGTATGTTACTCACTTAGCGATGTAGTTATGTTAAGACCACGTTTACTAACGTGGTCTTAGGAACGGAACTCCGTTGTTAAGTAATACTAATAATATAATATCTATTTCTACAAATACATGTGCAAGGTATACAGGTCTAGCAGACATCAATGACATACTACAATATACAAAGCCACTTGTTATGCTGAGCATTTCGGGCAAATTAGGTCAGTTTTGTCTCAGGATGTGACTCACACAAGCCCATTAACACCCAGGTACCCATTTTATACTGATGGGTGAACAGGGACAGCAAGTGTCTTATGGAAACACGTCCCTAATATTTACCAGCTGTACCAGAGATTCAAACTCCGAACCTCAGTGTATAAGCTGAATGCACTAGCGATTCAGCTATGGGGCTGTATTTAGTTACAGCACTTTTTTGTTTATTGACTTACTTAGTGACTAATTACATATTTAGCATATCATATTCGTATTTGATTTACATTTTCAACTTACAATGGATCCATCGCAACATAATCCCATAGTAAGTCAAGGACCCCCTGTAGTTCCCTCCTTAAAGATAATGTATAAAATACAACTTACTTGTATTCTGGGATGTTAAGTAGAGATCCCCTGTAAAATATATCCTTGCGGTATAGGAGGCCAGAACCATGATGTGACGAAGGAAGACTTCCGGTCTTACCTGCCTGCAATCGTCCGCTCCCCAGTGACATCAAATGTCCGTGATTTTCGGGCACTGGCAGTACTGGAAAGGTTACGGAGGTGTTATTTATACAGCCATTTGATGAAATTATTAATGATAACATGCAAAGTTCTAGGTAGTAGGTTGGTAGACAACAACCACCCAGGGAGGTATTACCATACTGTGGTAGTAGGTTGGTAGACAACAACCACCCAGGGAGGTATTACCATCCTGTATAGTAGTTTGGGAGACAACAACCACCCAGGGAGGTACTACCATCCTGTGGTAGTAGGTTGGTAGACAACAACCACCCAGGGAGGTACTACCATCCTGTGGTAGTAGGTTGGTAGACAACAACCACCCAGGGAGGTAACTACCATCCTGGGTAGTAGTTGGTAACAACCACCCAGGGAGTACTACCATCCTGTGGTAGTAAGGTTGGAAAACAACAACCACCCAGGGGGGTACTACCATCCTGTGGTAGTAGGCTGGTAGACAAAAAACACCCAGGGAGGTATTACCATCCGTGGGAGTAGGCTGGTAGACAACAACCACCCCAGGAGGTACTACCATCCTGTGGTAGTAGGCTGGGAGACAACAACCACCCAGGAGGTACTACCATCCTGTGGTAGTAGGCTGGTAGACAACAACCACCCAGGGAGGTACTACCATCCTGTGGTAATAGGCTGGTAGACAACAACCACCCAGGGAGGTACTACCATCCTGTGGTAGTAGGTTGGTAACAACAACCCCCCCAGGGAGGTACTACCATCCTGTGGTAGTAGGTTGGTAGACAACAACCACCCAGGGAGGTACTACCATCCTGTGGTAGTAGGTTTGGTAGACAACAACCACCCAGGGAGGTAAATACCATCCTGTGGTAGTAGGTTTGTAGACAACAACCACCCAGGGAGGTACTACCATCCTGTGGTAGTAGGGTGGTAGACAACAACCACCCAGGGATGTACTACCATCCTGTGGTAGTAGGCTGGTAGACAACAACAACCCAGGGAGTATTACCATCCTGTGGTAGTAGGTTGGTAGACAACAACCACCCAGGGAGGTATTACCATCCTGTGGAGTAGGGTTTGGGAGACAACCCCCAGGGAGGGACTACCATCCTGTGGGAGTAGGTTGGTAGACAACAACCACCCAGGGAGGTACTAAACCCTCCTGTGGTAGTAGGTTGGTAGACAACAACCACCCAGGAGGTACTACCATCCTGTGGTAGTAGGTTGGTAGACAAACAACCACCCAGGGAGGTACTACCATCCTGTGGTAGTAGGTGGTTTGAACAACAACCCCCCCAGGGAGGTACTACCATCCTGTGGTAGTAGGATGGGAGACAACAACCACCCAGGGAGGTACTACCATCCTGTGGTAGTAGGTTGGTAGACAACAACCACCCAGGGAGATATTACCATCCTGTGGTAGTAGGTTGGTAGACAACAACCACCCAGGAAGGTATTACCATCCTGTGGTAGTAGGTTGGTAGACAACAACCACCCAGGGAGGTACTACCATCCTGTGGTAGTTAGGTTGGAGACAACAACCACCCAGGAGGTACTACCACCTGTGGTAGTATGCTGGTAGACAACAACCACCCAGGGAGGTACTACCATCCTGTGGTAGTAGGTTGGTAGACAACAACCACCCAGGGAGGGACTACCATCCTGTGGTAGTAGGTTGGTAGACAACAACCACCCAGGGAGGTACTACCATCCTGTGGTAGTAGGCTGGTAGACAACAACCACCCAGGAAAGGGATTTACCATCCTGTGGTAGTAGGCTGGTAGACAACAACCACCCAGGGAGGTACTACCATCCTGTGGTATAGGCTGGTAGACAACAACCACCCAGGGAGGTACTACCATCCTGTGGGTATAGGCTGGTAACAACAACCACCCAGGAGGTACTACCAAAAACCCGTGGGAATAGGCCCGGGAGACAACAACCACCCAGGGAGGTACTACCATCCTTGTTTGTAGGTTGGTAGACAACAACCACCCAGGGAGGTACTACCCTCCCTGTGGTTTGTAGGGTTTGGTAGACAACAACCACCCAGGGAGGGACTTTCCATCCTGTGTAGTAGGTTGGTAGACAACAACCACCCAGGGAAGGTACTACCATCCTGTGGTAGTAGGTTGGTAGACAACAACCACCCAGGGAAAGGTACTACCAACCTGTGGTAAATAGGCTGGTAACAACAACCACCCAGGGAGGTACTAAACCATCCTGTGGTAGTAGGCTGTAGACAACAACCACCCAGGGAGGTATTAAACCCTCCTGTGGTGTAGGGTTTGGGAAGACAACAACCACCCAGGGAGGTTTTTACCAAACCTTGTGGTGTAGGTTGGTAGACAACCACCCAGGGAGGTACTACCATCCTGTGGTAGTAGGTTGGTAGACAACAACCACCCAGGGAGGTACTACCATCCTGTGGTAGTAGGTTGGTAGACAACCCAAACCCCCAGGAGGTACTACCATCCTGTGGTAGTAGGCTGGTAAGACAACCAACCCAGGGAAAGTACTACCATCCTGTGGTAGTAGGCTGGTAGACAACAACCACCCAGGGAAAATACTACCATCCTGTGGTAGTAGGGGTGGTAGACAACCACCCAGGAAGTACTACCCTCCTGTGGTAGTAGGGGGTAGACAACAACCACCCAGGGAGGTACACCATCCTGTGGTAGTAGGCTGGTAGACAACAACCACCCCGGGAGGTACTACCACCCCGTGGTAGTAGGCTGGTAGACAACAACCACCCAGGGAAGGTACTACCATCCTGTGGAATAGGCTGGTAGACAACAACCACCAGGGAGGTACTACCATCCTGTGGTAGTAGGTTGGTAGACAACAACCACCCAGGGAGGTACTACCATCCTGTGGGAGTAGGTTGGTAGACAACAACCACCCAGGGAGGTACTACCATCCTGTGGTAGTAGGTTGGTAGACAACAACCACCCAGGGAAGTACTCTGTCCTGCTAAGTGAGTGCAAAATGGAAAACCTGAAAAAGTTTTACATGATGGTAGGATTGCTGGTTGTCTTTCTTCTGTCTCATAAACATGCAAGATTTCAGGTACGTCATGCTACTTCTACTTACACTTAGGTCACACACACATGCATGTACAAAAATAATATAACACACTCCTCGGTTTTCTTCTATTTTCTTACTAAATTCTTGTTCTTTTCCTCTTATCTGCAGGGGGAAAAGGAACGAATTCTCCCGTAAGCCATGCACGTCATAAGAGGCGACTAACAATGCGGGGGCAAGGGGCTAGTAACCTCTTCTCCTGTATACATACTAAAGTTAAAAAGAGAAACTTCTGTTTTTTTTTTTTGGGTCACCCTGCCTTGGGGGATGCAGCTGGTTTGTTGCAAAAGAACATGCAAAGTTGAAGGTTTGGTAATACCAGAGTTGTCTTTATGTGGAGGCAAATGCAGGAGGGCCTTGTGTATTACAGGAGAACCCTGTGTATTACAGGAGGACCCTGTGTATTACAAGAAGGCCCTTTGTCCATACAGGAGGAACCTGTGTATTACAGGGGAACCCTGTATATTACAGGAGGGCCCTGTATTTTAAACAGGAGGGCCCTGTGTTTTTACAAGGCCCTGTGTCATATAGAGGACCCTGTAAATTTAAACAGGAGGGCCCTGTGTTTTACAAGGCCCTGTGTCATACAGGAGGACCCTGTGTATTACAGGAGGGCCCGTATATTACAGGAGGACCCCATGTCTTACAGGAGGGCCCTGTGTATTACAGGAGGGCCCCATTTGTATGGCTCCTTAGCTTTCCGACCCCATACAATAAACAAAAGCCGCTGACAAGTAGAAAAGAGCATTTGAAAACATGTTTACACTATCATATATAAAGTGCTCAATACAGCTAGATCTAAAACAGTAAAATAAATACGAAGTGCAAACAATACCTTAAAATATAGTGCTGGTCACCATTCCTTTAAAAAACTGTTTTGATAGAAATGGAAAAGTGGTAAAAGCATCAAACATAATGAATAATGACTCAGCTGAAAGCCAAGGAAAATGTGGAACAATGAAAAGAGGTGAGGATTACGAAGGGCCTCCCTGTAACACACATATCATTCCTGTAACACACAGGGCCTTCCTGTAAGACACAAGGCCCTCCTGTAAGACACAGGGGCATCCTGTAAGAAACATGGCACTCCTGTACGACACATGGCCCTCCTGTAAGACACAGCACCCTCCTGTAATACACAGGGCCCTCCTGTAACACACATAGCATTCCTGTAACACACAGGGCCTTCCTGTAAGACACAAGGCCCTCCTGTAAGACACAGGGGCATCCTGTAAGAAACATGGCACTCCTGTAAGACACATGGCCCTCCTGTAAGACACAGCACCCTCCTGTAATACACAGGGCCCTCCTGTAACACAACAAAACTCCCTGAAAGACACAGGGCCCTCCTTTAATACACAGGGACTTCTGTAATACAAAGGGCCCTCCTATAAGACACAAGGCCCTCCTGCAATAACAGTGACCTCCTGAATATACATGACCTCTTGAAAATCCCACAGTGACCTGTAAATACACAGATTAATAACACTAGTACAAACAAGCCATGGAACTGGTGAGGGTCGAACCTGTGGTAACTTGCATCCTAAAACCCCAAGCAAATTTTAGCATCCCTTGCCATAGGTTAAAAGCCACCAATCCCACAGTTTATGCACTCGTCTTATTGCGGCTTTCTGAATAATCACCAATTAAGCTTACAAGGCTGTGGACTGGGCCATCCTGGTAGCATCGTCTGTGTTCTTCATGTTGTATAAGAGCGGACCCCATGTTGCCATGGGAACTGATGCGCTGGATGCTGTCACAGTTGTAGCTCTGGCGGACCAGGGTTTGCACGCTGAAGTTTTTCTTTAGTTCGTCTCCTGCGATCTGAAACATACACGATTTAGTAACCGAATTTCAGAATGACGATGACAGTTATTAAATCCTGTAATCCGACAGTTACCACTCTCTCCAGAATTTACAGTAAATTCTGGGTTACAGTAAATTCTGGGTTACAGTAAATTCTGGGTTACAGTAAATTCTGGGTTACAGTAAACTCTGGGTTACAGTAAATTCTGGGTTACAGTAAACTCTGGGTTACAGTAAATTCTGGGTTACAGTAAATTCTGGGTTACAGTAAATTCTGGGTAATTTACAGTAAATTTAGCATACTTTATAGTAAATTCTTGATTTACAGTAAAGGCTGGATAATTTACAATAAATTCTCTTTCATTTACTGGAGATATATTACAGTACATACTGGATACAAGGAACCAAGACTGGTGTTCGTTATATCAGAATAATGACTGAATGTACTAGTCACTGAATGATACTTTTATACAAGGCATTTACTGTAATAATAATAAAAATAATAATAATAATAATTAATAAAATATTATTTATATAATAATATTTGTAATGATTATAACAACTATAATAAATTAATAGTAATATAACAAAATAATAATAATAAAAAGTAATAATAATAGTAATAATAATAGTAATAATAATAATAGTAAAATAATAATATAATAATTAATAATAATAATAATAATAATAAAAAATAATAAAAATAATAAAATAATAATAATATTTAATAATAATAAAGAGTAAAAATAATAATAGCAATAATTTAAAATAATAAAAGAAATAATAATAGTAAAATAATAATAATAATAATAATAATAATAATAATAATAATAATAATAATAATAAATTATAATAATAATAATAATAATAATAATAATATTAATATTAATAATATTAATAATAATAAAGGGGTAAAAAGGCAGTACCTTGATCTTAGGTAAGTGGTTGAGAGGTAGACCCCAGGGGCAGGCAGTTCCTGCAGGTTCAACTCATTGTTGTGATCTGCCAGGTTGTTGTCCTCCAGCGGTCGGAACATTGCACCAAAAACCCACAGTTGAGCTGATGCCAGAGATAATGAATCAGAGAGTTCTGCCAACTCACTCATTGATCTGAGGGAGATTGGGGTGAAGTTGGTGGCACGTCTGATGATGTGGGAGTGATGGGAGGAATCCTGAGCATGGGTGGAGTAACGGGAGGAATCCCCGGCATGGGTGGAGTGTATGGGGGGAATCCTGGGCACGAGTGGAGTATACGGGAGGAATCTCAGGCAAAGGGTGGAGTGTATGGGAGGAATCTCAGGCATGAGTGGAGTGTACAAGAGGAATCCTGGGCATGAGTGGAGTGTACGGGAGGAATCCTGGGCATGGGTGGAGTGTATGGGAGGAATCCTGGGCACGAGTGGAGTGTATGGGAGGAATCCTGGGCACGAGTGGAGTGATTGGGAGGAATCCTGGGCACGGGTGGAGTGTATGGGAGGAATCCTGGGCACGAGTGGAGTGTATGGGAGGAATCCTGGGCACGAGTGGAGTGTATGGGAGGAATCCTGGGCACAGGTGGAGTGTATGGGAGGAACCCCAGGCACGAGTGGAGTGTATGGGAGGAATCCTGGGCATGAGTGGAGTGTATGGGAGGAATCCCAGGCATGGGTAGAGTGTATGGGAAAAATCCCAGGCACGGGTGGAGTGTATGGGAGGAATCCAAGGCACAAGTGGAGTGTATGGGAGGAATCCCAGGCACGAGTGGAGTGTATGGGAGGAATCCTGGGCATGAGTGGAGTGTACTGGAGGAATCCCAGGCATGGGTGGAGTATACGGGAGGAATCCCAGGCATGGGTGGAGTGTACAGGAGGAATCCCAGGCATGGGTGGAGTGTATGGGAGGAATCCCAGGCACGAGTGGAGTGTATGGGAGGAATCCTGGACATGGGTGGAGTGTACAGTAATAATCCCGGGCATGGGTGGTGTGTATGAGAGGAATCCCAGCACAGGTGGAGTGTACGGGAGGAAATCCTGGGCATGGAGTGGAGTTATGGGAGGAATCCCAGGCACGAGTGGAGTGTATACGAGGAATCCTGGGCATGAGTGGAGTGTATGGGAGGAATCCCAGGCACGGGTGGAGTGTATGGGAGGAATCCCAGGCACGAGTGGAGTGTATGGGAGGAATCCCAGGCACGAGTGGAGTGTATGGGAGGAATCCCAGGCACAGGTGGAGTGTATGGAGGAATCCTGGGCATGAGTGGAGTGTACGGGAGGAACCCAGGCATGGTGGAAGTATACGGGAGGAATCCCAGGCATGGGTGGAGTGTACGGGAGGAATCCCAGGCAGGGTGGAGTGTATGGGAGGAATCCCAGGCATGAGTGGAGTGTATGGGAGGAATCCTGGACATGGGTGGATGTAGGGGTCCCAGACATGGGTGGTGTGTATGAGAGGAATCCCAGGCACGGGTGGTGTACGGAGGAGGAACCCCGGGACGGGTGGAGTGTACAGGTAAGGAATCCCAGGCACAGGTGGTGTACAGGAGGAACCCCGGGCACGGGTGGGGTACGGTAGGAATCCCGGACAGGTGGGTACGAGGAACGGGCATGTGGAAGTACGTATAATCCTGGGCATGGGTGGTATGTACAGTAATAATCCTGCGCATGGGTGGTGTGTATGGTAATAATCCTAGGCATGGGTATAATTCTCAATGTGTTCTTGGTACAAATGGTGCTTAAGTAGCACTAATTAGGTACCTGGAAGCAGGAACATCCTCAAGTGTACTGGTACACAACAAACAGCACAACTAACTACAGTGTACACACCACAACTGAAACCATATACAGCCTCTCCTCACTTAGCGACGTACTCATTTACAGACGCCTTGGACTTACGATGGGCTCTCTGACCAGTATGTATACCTAAATAATGTATATTAGAGCTGATTTCATCTCTTCTGTTTATTACAATATACAGTGCACTACTGTATATTGTAATATACCAGAAATGTTATAAATGGTGCAAAAGTGACATTAAAACAATATCAAAGATGGATGACACAAAGCCACTACCATTATAGTATGCTCCTCACTTAGCGCCGAATTCATTTAACAACGTGGTCTTGGGAATGGAACTCTCCGTCGTTAAGTGAGGAGAGGCTGTAAACGTGTTCTAGACTCGTTTAAACATCCGCCATCATACTTTACAAGTTCTAAACCATTTACACTGGAATATAAACCATAAGAGTGTATTAACAAGGTACTAGGTACTAAGTAGGTGCCAGGTACTTATAACACATCCTCGATTAAACACCCAAAATCATACTAAATGCGTCACACTAAAATATAAACAGAGAGTATAATAACAAGGTACTAAGAACTTAACTAGGTACTAAGTTTTTTTTTTTATTATCACACTGGCCGATTCCCACCAAGGCAGGGTGGCCCGAAAAAGAAAAACTTTCACCATCATTCACTCCATCACTGTCTTGCCAGAAGGGTGCTTTACACTACAGTTTTTAAACTGCAACATTAACACCTCTCCTTCAGAGTGCAGGCACTGTTCTAGGTACTAATAACACGTCCAGGACTTGTTTAACATCCCAAAATCGTACTAAACACATTCAAAATATGTTAGTGAAATATAAACCATCGGAGAGTGTAATAACAAGGCACTAGGTACCAGGGACTTACCAGGTACTCCACCAGAGGTGAGAAGGCAAAGGTACCAATACCAGAGCCACAAACAGCGATACCAGTAGCAAAGGAACGACGCTTCTCAAAGTAACCAGTGACACAGACAATGGCTGGCAGATATATTAAGCCAAACCCAAGACCTGTAAGTATTATTATTATTATTATTATTATTATTATTATTATTATTATTAATCACAATTATCATTAACATCAGTCATCATTGATATCCTCTAGAATGATACTGGCAGATATATGAAGCCAAACCCAAGACCTGTATTATTATTATTAAACATAATTATCATTATTTACATCAATCATCATTGATATGCTACAAATAATGATTAAGAATGATAATCCCTGGCAGATATATCAAGCCAAACCCAAGACCTGTAAGTATTATCATTATCATAATTACCATTATTAACATCAATCATCATTGGCATCCTCATAATAATGATTTGAAAATGATAATGGCTGGCAGGCAGATTAAGCCAAACCTAAGACCTGTGGGTTATTATCATCATTAACATCATTATTATCAGCATTATCAATCATAATATAATAATATTTGCAACAAAGAGGAGACTGGAGGCAGTGGAGGAGGCTGGAGGCCGTGGAGGAGGTTGGAGGTCGTGGAGATGTCATATCTCAGGGCAATGTGTGGTGTAAATATGCAGAGAATTCATAGCTTGGAGATTAGAAGGTGGTGCTGGGTTACTAAGAGTATTATCCAGAGAGCTGAGGTGGTGCTAGGTTACTAAAAGTATTATCCGGAGAGCTGAGGTGGTGCTGGGTTACTAAAAGTATTATCCAGAGAGCTGAGGTGGTGCTGGGTTTACAAAAAGTATTATCTAGAGAGCTGGGGTGGTGCTAGGTTACTAAAAGTTTACCGAGAGCTGAGGGGGTGGGGTTATAAAAGTATTTCTAGGAGTGAGTTTGGGCTGGGTTATTAAAAAATCTGGTGGGGGGGTTTGGGTTTATAAAAGTATTAAGAGTGGGGTTTTGGTGCTAGGTACAAAAATATTATCCAAGAGCTGAGGTGGTGCTGGGTTTACTAAAAGAATTACCAGAGAGCTGAGGTGGGCGGGGTTTTACTAAAAGTTTACCAGAGGTGGTTGTGCGGGTTACTAAAGTTTTTCCCGGAGCTGAGGGGGTCGGGTTACTAAAAAGTTTTTATCCAGGAGCTGAGGGGGCCTGGGTTCAAAAGTATTATCCGGAAGCGGGGGGTGCTAGGTTAAAAAAAAGTTTTTCCCAAAGGGCTGGGTGGTGGGTTACTTATTATCCGGGCTGGGTGGAGTGGTTCAAAAGTATTATCCAGGAAAGCTGGGTGGGGCTAGGTTACTAAAAG